CTTCTTAGACTTTATCTGACCTTTCCTATGGAAGCATCTGCTCCATGCTTCTTGTTCTCTCTGAATTGGGGGATGGGGGATTCTTAAGACTGTATACCTTCTCTCAATCCTGCAAAGCCAAGCTGTGCGCTGAGAGCCTTCCATGTGCTTTCCCTAGGGCTGTGCCCTGAAATGCTCCTGTTTGTGTGCTTTCTCCCAATCCTGCAGTCAGGCCAGCTTTCTGTGTGTGCTCACTAGCCATCTAAAAAGGCTCATGCTCACCACCCACAGGGAGTCGACCACTGCAGGGGTGGTGTGGTGTGTGGGTGAGGCACGTGGAGTGTTGATGGTACCTGTGAGACAGTTGGGGTTGGGGAGATTTGCTGGCAAGGCATCCCAGCAGCTTGTGAACAGGCCTGCTCATGAAGTCCTTGAAGTGGTTAGTAAGATCTGTGTCCTTTTGAATTCTAAGCTCTGGCCACTATGCTTCCAGCTTCTCCCTGCCCCTCAGCCTTACAGATCCTTCAGTACAATGGGTGGGGCAAGAAAGAAGCAGGCCTCCTTGGCAGTGTCCCATACAGTGGAGGAGGCCAGGCACTAATCACTACATTCTCATCTTCCCCCATGGGAGAAATTGCGCTCTGAGGTTCTTTCTCCTGGCCCTGCGCTATGCCGCCTGGTGTGAGAGGTGACGCAGGCAATGTAAAACTGTGCCTCTTACCCTCTTCAGTATGTCCAATTTTGTATGTTCATTCCAACAGTGTGCTAGAACCTCTCCTGTGGATCCACTACAAAGGCACTATCACCCATGGGTGATTGTCAAAACTGATTTTCTGGTGGGGGTGGGAATGGTAGAAACTCCTATTTTGACATCAGTTCCTCTTCAGTCCTTCATATGACATTGAGTTATTGTCTAGTGTCCTTTCATTTCAGCTTGAAGGACTCTCTCTAGCATCTCTTGATAAGGTAGGTCTACTAACAAGAGAGTTTTCCAGGTTTTGTTTATTTCAGAAGGTCATAATTTATCCTTCATATTTTAAAGATGATTTTGCCAGGTATAAAATTCTTGGCTGACAGTTTGTTTCAGCACTTTAAAATGCCTTCCTGCCTCCATGGCTCCTAATGAGCAATCAACTGTTTATCTTACTGAGGACCCCCTGTACATGTCAAGCCACTTCTCTCTTGCTGCTTTTAAGTTTTTCTCTTTATCTTTTGACAGTTTGATTATGATTTGTCTCAATATAGATCTTTTTCAGTTTATATATATATATATTTTTAGAGTTTGTTGAACTTTTTGGACATTAGATTCATGTCTATCTTCAAACCTAGGAAGTTTCCAGACATTTTTTCTCCAAATATTCTTTGTCTTTTTCTCTATCTCCTCCCCTTATGAGAATTCTGTTATGCATATCAGTATGCTTAACATGTCTGATGGGTCTTCATTCTGTTTACTTTTCTTCTTTTTTTGCTCCTCAGAATGGATCATTTCAATTGACCAAGCTTCAAGTTCACTGATGCTTTCTTCTGCCTGTTCTGCTCTTGAGTCCCTCTCAATAAATTTTTCAACTCAATTATGGTACTTTTTTGCTTCAGAATTTGTATTTGACTCCCTTTTATAATTTTTATTTCTTTATAGATATTCTCTATTTGGTGAAATAATGTTCATGTTGTTTCCTTTAGTACTTTGTCTATGGTTTCTTTTAGCTCTTTGAGTATATTAAAGACAGTTAAAGTCTTTATCTATTAAGTCCAATGTCTGTGTTTCTTCAAGGACAGTTTGACAACATCTTTCTTTCCTGTCAATGGGCTATACTTTCTTGTTTCTTTGAATGCCTCATATATATACATATATATGTGGATATATATGTGTGTGTCTATTTTTTTATATATTTATATATATATTTATATATATTTATATTTTTATATATATATTTTATTTTATATATATATATATTTTTTGTAAACTGGTCATTTTGAATATTGTGACAACTCTGGAAATTGGATTCTGCTCCCTTTTCTTAGTTAGTTTTTGTTGCTTGTTGTGGGTTGTAGTTTTTTTAGTAACTTTTTAAAACTTTATTCTTTGTCATGTGTGGCCTGTGATGTTTCTATTTCATTAGTTTAGTGACCAGCTAGTGAGCTAGTGGTTTGACAGAGTTTTCCTTAAATGCCTGGAGACAAAAAGAAAAAGAAAAGAAAATATTCTCCTGGTCTTTGCAGACTGGCTGTGTTGGGGCACCCTTCAATATTTCTCTTGGGTGTTCACACAACTCTGCTTTAGCCTTCACTTCCTGCTTGGGCTGGGTGTAAAGATCAGCAAGAGGTAAAAGCTGAGGGTCTTCTCAGGTCTTTTCTGAGCATGCATCCTACCCTGGTTATGGGCACGTCCTTCTAGATTTCTTAGAACATATGGGAGCTTTCCAAAGCCCTTATTCCCCAAAGCATTTCACTCCCTAGCTATTCCTCCCAGGTCTTCACCTCGACGTCTATGGTTTATTCCAACTGTTATCTTTTGCCCCAGGCAGCAGCATGTTCATTGGACTTTCAAAGTTTTAGAGAAACACCCTCTTTGCGCAGCCACTTTCCACCTTGAGAAACTTGTGAGTTTCGTGAAACAAAGGAAGCCCCTTGCATCAGTCCTCCTGGGAGTCTCTAGACAAGTCAAAACAAAGAGTATTCCTTGGGAACAAGGTCCATTCTGCTCCCTCTAGAACCAGACACCCCAACAATTCCATAGGCTGCGGTTTTCAAGACCACTACTGACTGGGAGGATGATGGAGGAAGCCTAAGATAAAATGCCATTAAGCTATCTTTTTTCTTGTTTAAGCATTCACTTGGTTGCTTTAAATCTTTCACTATTTTCCAGCCTTTAGACAAAATTAATTCTGACAGTTTTTATAGTGTTTCGGGGGGCGGGGGGTAGGTCCTTAGAGTTCCTCATTCTGCAATTTTCATTGACATATATGCATAATTTTAAATGGAAGTAGACACATGAACATTTGGGTTAATGTGACATGATTTTCATATTATAGTCTGAATGTATTATGTTTTATTAAAACTTTGTAAATAAAACACTTTATAAATCCTCAAGACTGTTTATATGATATAAACATTTGCATATATTTCAAAAATATAAGTAGATTTTTCAAAAGTATGAAAAATTCATAAGTGACATGCTTATGAATTATATAAGGGAATTCAGGGGCTAAAATATACATATTTATATCCTTTGAGTGTGACTAGCTACCATGCTCCCCCTTTTCCTACTATGAGAAAAATATTACTAGATATATTATTGGTCTGACTCATTATAGCTTCTTGGTGGAGTATGAAAAATATCTTGTTTTAATATTTTAAACTTAATGTTAATAACCTTTGTGGACTCTGAGGAACATTAGGTCTCCAAGGGTCCATTCAAATGTTTTGTTCCTAGATGCTCTAGCTAATGTGTTTTCCCCTGTCATCAATCCTTCTTAAAATGTGTTTTTAACATCACTGATCTCAAAATAATATGTCATGTCTTATTTAGAATAACCACTTCCTTCATGTACCCTTACGGAGGTTCTCATAATATCAAGAAAGGAAATACTTGTCAAATTCCATGGTTACAAGATCTAATCTCCCCAAATCACCATGCTTGCAATTTTAATTGACAAGGGATATTATTTTATGTACAAAAGAAAATTACAGTAAACAGATGACATTATTGGGCTTACTCATGTGAATATCTAACACAAGCAACAGTACACTGAGCAAAATGCAACAGTATTCATCAGATGTCATTATAAAGTGAAACTCCTTTGATGGAATTTTACATCAGGATTTTTCTCTCCAACTAGTAGTAAAGTACAACTAGTAGTAAAGTAGTTCTTTTTATCCTATCTTGAGATTCTTAAACATATCATTTTTAAGGGAGTCTTTAATACAGTGAGTCTGGTTAAAAAGTGACACTGGAGGATATAACATACCACATACAAATTAATTTTCAATTTAAATTGGTTGGCCAAACTAAAGGTATCATACTATGTATGTGATTTTGCACATGCTATGTTCTGAAAGCAAACTATACTTGGGCCATTCTTTGTAGTTATGCCTGTAGCACTTTCCAGTTACAACTTACCTTGAAGCAGTTTATTTCTCTCTAGAATCACTTCCCTGATGCAACAATTGTCTATAAAGAAGCAACAGCTTTTTAAACTATGAAATTCTGGAAAAAAACATTCATAGTTGGCATATATTTACTGTTCAGAAGAAATTACATAATTTAGACTAGAAAACTTTTACTATCTGGGATGGCAGAATTCTCCTTACCTCAGTCACAGTGTCTGAGAACTATCTGACTTTGGTCATGATTAAACACTATTAAGCTTTACAGAGAGATTAGATGTGTGTTGTTAATATCATTTAATCAACTGCATACCTGCTAGAAGAATTTTGAGCTTTAAGGGGACAAAAAAAAGTAATTATAACTAACAAATAAATGTTAATTATAAAATGTAGCCTCAAACTCCAATTGTAGTGTCTGTACTGAATGGACTTTAGAAAATGTAAAAATACTCAATGGATTCAGATTGACAGGTCAAGTGCTACTTAGGGATAGGCATTAAATAAATGATTATGATCACATATTGCTTTTCCATAAATGCCATTCCAATACTAAATTTATCAATCTTTGAATAGGAAATAGGGGAATTGATGTGATTTTTAATAATAAATTTGGGAATATGTGATAAAGTTAACATAGGTCTGAATTATTACATAATTTTCACTGAATATCATGTTCTGAAAAGATAGCTTTCTTCCTGCTAATACACATACTGCCTTGGGATTTAACTTAATATGCCCTGATAGGGTTTTATATTTCCTGTTCTTTATTCTATTTCATAGATAAAGTAAGTAAATTTCATGTATGTAGACCTGGTTCCTGTTTGAGGCTATACAGTTGGAACTCCCAGCTAACAATGTTCTCCACGCTCTATTATTCAGATTTTAATGAAAATAGATAACAAAGCCTAAAAAAATGAAGAAAAACAAAAAGTTTATTGGACTAAATAACTGTGTTTCTAAATTCTTCTTTGAGTAGCACCACAGAAAATAAAGATTCAGGTTTGAGAGTTTGAAAGCCTAGTTACATGCTCTATTTTTTATTCTTTTTGGCTTTCTCCTTCTAGTACTTCTACAAGTCAGACAAAATTTACATTTCCTGTCTAATTTACAGAGTTGTTGTGAAGAACAAACACCATAACATATGCACAAGTGCTTTATAAACTATAATAGGACATACAGACATAGTAATGGTTAGACTCCTATATTTGGTTTTCAAGAAAGCTTCACATTGAGTTGCTCACTCATATTAGGATAACTAACCTTTATCTAGAGTCATGGAATGAGGTTTTGATGGCAAGTGTCCTCCATACAACACAAGGGGAAATGGTGAAGGTGGGTTACTTTTGTGGTTTTAAATCTGGATTCCTGGATGAAATTTCTAAAGTTGAAGAGGAATTAATTCCGAGTTCTGGTGTGTTGCTTCCATTGCCTGATGCTTTAAGGCAGGCTGATGTAGTCATGTTTGCTTTAGATTTACATTCTGGGAAGAAATCCCATTTTCCAGGTTAGGCATCCAAGATGTAGTAGGTACTATTCATCCAGCTCCCTATCGTATACACCTTTGTCTAGTTATGATTAATAAAAACAAAACACTATTTGTAACCATACATGTCCTTTATAACTGAAACGGTAGTACGTATAATTTTTCAGCACATGACATGTTTTCATGCATATACCTTATCTTTGTACAACCCTAAGAATTCTTTAACATACATTTTATAGTTTTCCTTTACTAACAATGTGGTTTTCTTTACTAATGAGTGAACAGTTCTAAAACATGAATTCATAGTTACATTGTCATTTTTATGTCAATTCTATAGCATACACTGAATATAATATGCTTGAAAAACACTTCGATGTTTCCTTTGTTCTTTCCAGTGCTAACATTAAATTTAACCATCCGTTTCTATAAGTTAAATTGACGAGGAAAACTCATATTTAAAAAAATGATACAAGAATAAGCTAGATTATCACAATCAACATGGAAATGAACTCAAGAATTCAAACTAGTATGTCAGGAACACTTTATCTTCATGGTAAACATTCACTTTATGCAAATCCCACTTGGCTTCATTTAATTAAAAAGCTGAAAAAGAAAGAAAATTATGTTCTGAAAATAAGGAAAACACAATATGCTTTTTATTTCATTCTAAATCAGTACATGTAAATATAACATAAAAAGCCATAATTATATTTACCTCATTCTAATTTTTATCAGGGCAACTTCTCTGAACTAGTTCCTGCAAAGGGGTCAGGCTTGTGGTGAGAATGGGTCGGGGGTGGGAGAAGATGCTTATAAGAACTTGAACTTGTGGTATTTAAGTTTGGGTAAAATATCCTATTTCTGTGAGCCACTCTCATTACTGGCTAGACCAACAGTTAAATCAGCATTTCAACTGGCAAAGTGGGGGAAATAAAGGGAATGGATTGAAACAAATATTTGAAGTGGGTCATTTCAATGTCATAAAGAAAATATTTTTCTCATCATTCAATCTATAATTCATTTACTTACATAAAATAAACCCTTGATATTTTTAAATGAAATATATAATTTCATTATATTGAACAGCCAAAAAGAATGCATACATGAACCATAAAGTGTCATCAGATTATGACAAAACATCACAAATAGATGATCGTACATAAAGAAGTAAAAGGTAACTATTTTTCTTAACTTCCCTAAGCAAAGCTTTAATTTATGAACAGAAATTTAAGTTTGTAAAACGATAACTCAATTTAAATAATACTAAGCTGCTTTTGTCTGATATTTGTACCTTTCTCCTAACATGTGGCATATTTTTTTAAGTCTTGACAACCTAAGAACTTTGTAGGACGATCAGACACAAACCAATTTTTAACTAAATCTTAAAAAAAAAATGAAATCAGTGGTTACTGTAGTCGAAAAGCCATGTAATTGGAAAACTGTTCAAACTAGTGCATTGAATATTTGGAGGGTTAAATTATAATATTCTAGGCATATATTGCTTGGTCTTTCTGAACCTCGGTTTCCTCATTAGTGAGAAGAATGCTTGTTTTGGATGATCTCCAAAGTTCTTTCCAGTGCTAACATTTTATGATCCTAGGTGTTAAAAGTAAATATATAGTTTAAAATATGTATTAAAAATTATACAAAGTACTTATGCATAATACATAAAATGTGTTATTTATTATATAAATTAAAATATAAAGTAATTATGCAATAAAAACAATTACTCTGTTTCTGAGGGATATTAAATTAAAAGATAGAAATCAGGTGCTGCCGTCTATCTAGACACAGCAAGACACTGCTTCTGTTTTTCAAAATAACAAATGATGGCTGAAGCACTGCAAGGGTAACCAGCTCCATGAAGAAGGAAGCCGGCAGTAAGTCCGGCACAGCATTCAGCTATAGTTGCTGTTCAAGCTGCATGATCCTTAACAACACTGATGGCAAAGCAGATCGATGTGTCCCTTGTAGAAGAACTCTTTGGCTTTCCTGTCTTCAATGACAAGCTTGCCTTTAAGACAAAACTAACTGAAGGATGAGGGTTAACGAAAAGAGAAAACTCGATCACGTAATATTTTAAACTGTCATTAAACTCAGGAAAATTCTAAGAAAGAAACTGAGGATTTGTAGTTTTTCTTCTTTTTTTTTTAAAGGACTGCTCTGAACATTTCAAGCCATGAGGCACTAAAGGATCATCTTTTATCACTGCTAAAAATATTACCACCATAAAGGCAAAAATCAGAACATGACCCTTTATGATCATTTTATACTTCCTGACTTTTTGTAGCTAGAAAGGTTAAAAAGGTTCCATAATTTTTAGATGTTGCTATATTCAGAGTAAAAGGATCTTTATATTTTTGTAATATTAAAATAGACTAAGAATCCTTAGTTACCACACTATTTGTGCCAGGGTTTTTTCCAAATTGAAATACTTCATTATCTTAAAAAAGCTGTTACAACAATCTTTTGTTTATATCTTATTATGAAATGACATATATTTCCTTTTGAACTAATCCATCTATTTATTGTCCTACAGTAAAGGATGAATCCAACAGAGTACTTCCTACTCTTTTATGTTTAAAATAATCTCTTCCATAAAATGTTATAAAAACTTCTTTACAAGTGTTTGTTTAAGACACCAGAAAGACTTGAAGCACACCAAGTGTCAATGTTTTGTTAGTTAAAATGTTTCTTAGAAAAGTATGGACTTTTATTCTCTAGGTAATCGTTCAACAGTTCATGATTTTTTATTTTCATTATATAAATATTAAATGTCCAAGGTGTGTTCCAGTGTGAATTTTTAATATTGATTTTATCACTCAAGAGATTACTCCCTCATTCCTAGCTATCAGAGTCTGACATATTTTTTTTCCTTTTCACATTTACCTGTCTAATAATTCTGATGTATAGTCTAAGAGTTCTCATACATCTATGCTTCTAGCAGTGCTTGGATTTTTATCTTTCCTAATAATGCTTATCATAAAAATGTATAAAAAGCTTTTATATCATACTTAAAAACTGCCGAGAATAGTAAAAACTGAATAAATTCCTCTTTTTTGGAATGTACTTTTCAGTGTTGTGGTCTGTTTCCTCAGAGAGAAGCTGCCCTGGGTGCCATCATCAATTTCTGTCTGGATTCCTCTCCACCCTCTGTCATGAGCTCGTTATAGTTCACGGTGGTCTGCACGTGCATAACGTTGACTACCGAGACTGGCTTATTCTGAAGTGAATACACACATGGTCAACTTTAACTCAGGTAGCGATATAAGATGGAGGCTCTTTGGCGAGCGCAGTGAATTGTACACAGGGAGATTAGATAGCAGGCCAGAACCAGCCAAATATGCCCCAGAAGCTACCCCTTCTCCTAGACTAAAGGGATGCAACTATTCCCTTCAGGTCTGTGTAACCTGATTATTGCTCACAGCATATCAGGGATGCAGAGGGGCTCTGTGCATACAAAGAAGGAAGGAGATGAAGATCTCTAAACACTTCTCTAAGTCTAGCTTTCTCCTAACTGCTCCTTCACTATAGTAAACACTCAGGACTTAGATAAAAATGCAGTCCTTGACTTGCTGAGGAACTTCTAAAAGTTCATTATTTTAAATTCAAAATAAGTTTTTCGAGAGAAACATTATTTAAAGTGGAAGGTATCTTCTCATTCAGGCCCAAAGACAGTCATTTTCAATCAGTATTCAACAAAGACTTACTGATTATCTATTGTGTAGAATAATATTGTGCATAGAAGGGTGTTGCAAGAAATGGAATGATTGAAAGTCATGGCCATTATGTTTCTTTCCTAGAGGAGAGAAAGACCTGGACACAATTAAGTATAACACAATGACATAGTTGATATGACGGCAAGTCAAAGTGGTACAGGAACTCAAAAACAAGCAAACAAAACAAAACTCTGGCTTTGAGAACAAGTGGAATGAAGGGATAGCAGCCTAGGCTCAAGGAGCTGACTGAAGAAAGGCACCAAAGTCAGAAAAAACATCAAGCGTTGTGTCCGGTATGGCTAACCCAGGAGTCAGCATACTTTCTGTAAAAGGCCAGAAAGCAAATATTTTAAACTTTGTGGGCCATAGGTCTCTGGTGAAACAACTCAACTAAGCCATTGGGAGTACAAAAGCAGCCATAGACAATACATAAACAAATAAATCTGGCTGTGCTCCAATAAAACTTTATTCATGGACACTAAAAATTTGAATTTTGTCTGATTTTCACGTGTCACAAAATAATCCATTTTTCTTTTTCTTTCTCTCCGTTTTTGTTTTTTTTTGCAATGATTTAAACCTGTTCAAACCATCCTTAGTTGCGTGGCACACACAAATGGGGAGCAGCCTAGTTTTGGCCCACCGGTAGCAGCTGCGGACCCCTGCACTAAGCCACAGGGTACACTGAAGGCTGTCCTATGAGGAGAAACAGAAGAGACAGACGGAACCAAACTGAAACGAACTTAAGGCGATTTATACAGTCGGATTATTAGCAGTTAGCAAAATCATATCGTAGAAGAAAAGTTAACGGCACTGAAATATGATCATGACATATGAAAGGAAAAAAAGCATCTTACAAAATATGTATGGTATAATTCTTTCCTAGGTTCAAAGTATATACAAGCCAAACTGTTGACATTGATAACCTGGGTGTTGGGATTATGAAAAATTTTATTTACTTCATTTTGCTTATCTGTATCGTCCAGAAGGAACATGTATTAACTTTTCCTTCCTCTTTCTTGTTAGCCATTAACGAATTTTGATGAAGAAGTAACACAGTCTGGGCATATCTTAAAATAATTCTGCATTCATCTAGACTAAGTGATGGCTTATGGACGATAATGACTATATGTAGGAGATAAGTTAGGAGGCTGGTGATAGTCTGAAAAAGATACTGCGTACATCAATTAAGACAGCAGCAGTGGGAATAGAAAGCTATGGAGACCCAAATGACTCCAAGGTTTCTACCTTGTATGGGTGTGAGAATAACAATGTGTTAGGGAAAATGGGGAGAAGGGGACAAACGGGTGGAAACAGAGATGAGGTTGGTTTTGGACATGGTAAGGGTGAGGTCGTAATGTGGTACTGAGGTCTGGTTCTATATCTCAGGAGAAAGGTCAGGATTTGACATGTACATTTGGACTGCAAAGTAATCTAAAAGGGAAAAGGAAGGTGTAAGAGTGTCATGTTATAAAATCTAGGTTATAACATTTCAAAGAAAAGCTGGTCAACTAAAGTGCCAGAAAGGTATTGTGGGTTGCAGAATGAGAAGAAACCTCTGGATTTGGTTACTGGGTGGTCACTGGAGACCCATATTATATGGAACCAGTGTGTTTGTTCCTTTTCTCTTCCTGTGAAATATCTGAACAGGCACCAAATAGTGGTTTGCGTTTCGTTTTTTGTTTTTACTTATCTTGAATTAATTACTCTATCTGTTCTCAGTGTTTTGAAAAAAGTCAGAAAGTACACAGTGCTCTTTAATGAATGAATTCTGTCCAGTTGGGAGCTGGTTAACTTCTCTACTGAGATCCTCAGCTGGACAGAATTTTCTTGTGTATTGTTCTTACTTCCTCTTCTCAAACTCGGGAAGGAGTCAGGGAGACGTAATGGTTACATAATGACACTGTTTTACGGAAATCATCTATGTGGTTAAGGAGCAGCTGCTCAGATTTCGTTCTGATATCCAAAAAAAGTGCAAAACGGAAAGCCTTGCTTCTTTACTCAGAGCACGGATAAGCCACTAGTTGAATTTCCACTCCTGTTCCATTGGCCTTGTAGTTAGTGGAACTCAATGATTCATGGTTCTTAAGAGTTTTTAACCTTTACTCTATATCCCTAAGTGTTCTAAGGGGATGCAAGGGAGAAGTACATTATGGCTGTTAACCAGACTCTTTAGCCAAAAGCCCTGAGGCTCTCTTCTTTGTAAAGGATTACTGAACCCAGAAAAGTCTTCAAGTCTGAAGTAAATGATCTAAAAAAAGGACTAAAGAAATTCAGGATTTTACTAGGAGTAGAGAAAGAAATTTTGGGAGTGGAAACCCTTCTAATCTATAGTTACACAAGGTAACAGCTGTGAAGTCCAACTACTGCTAAGGCTACTTCTCTACAACACCCTACACAGAGAGGGCCATTGAATAAGAGTTTTGATAACATGATTAACAAGTAGGCACAGTCAGAAAAATGGATCCTAGGTCTAGGAGGAAAAGGAACAAAAAGCTAGTATGTAGGGTAAGGTTGGGGATTAGGTAAAGAACAGAAAAGTCTTTTAGACTGCAGGGCCTTCCTACTCTTTCCCTGCTTCCAATGGGTTGCTAAATGGTGGAGTTTCTGCCAGAGGAAGAAAGTTGCATTTCCACTATGGAAATAACCCTCTAGACTGCCTCAGATGTACATGTCTGCTCAGACTGTGTTTGGAGGTTTGAGGAGTGGAATGTGCAGTGCAAAATCCAAAAGCCTGGATCCTGAATTTTCTACAAAAATTACTTTGGATTTAGGTGGAGGTTTCTAATATGTATTTCTGAAATTATCAAATGTTGATTTAAAAAAACATTTTTTAGTATACATTTAGAAGACTTGTATTTTGTTTTATTTTCTTGGATATTAAGGTTTATGCTGTTTGTCAGTGGGAAAAGGGATTTGACTACATTTTTTCCTAGGAAGAATTAAATATATTTCTGTCATTTGTTTTCGTTCTGCCTTCCTCTCTAAAGTAATAAAACAGAGAAGCAACCACATGCAATTATATTTTGTTTGGAGTGGAAGGCACATGCATTTATATGAATATTATGGTTTACAAATATATACTGTTTATCAAATAGTTAATTCCATGGGTCCAAGTCTATTTATAAGAAATTTTTATCAAAGGACTTGTTCCTGTAGCTGCTAAGTACAATACCCTAAGACTGGAATATGAGATTCCCACAATGGAAAGTTACCTTACTTTTGTAAAACAAGAGTTTGCTCTAACTTGTCTTACTTATGAGATAAATATCATGGTCATTATTTGAAAGATGAGGAAAACTGAGGCTCAGAGAAGATTAAAAGACTTGCCTGAGGTTACAGTTTTAAAGTGCCATGGTCCAAATCACATCTTCTCACTCAAAGTCCAGATCACTTTCCAATACACCACAATGAAATACAACAATATGGAAAAAATAGTCCTTAAGATTCAATTTCCATTTGCACAATATTATTACAAGATCTAGCACTGTATTCTTTACCTAGATAAGATTGGGGACAGACAATGGTGCGTCCACAGCACTGTAGCTCTTCTCTAAATCATCTCTAAGTCTTTGGTTTTTTACATCATTCTTCAAAGCTGGAACTCAGCATGAGAAAGGCAATCCCAGAGAGGTTCTTATCAATGAATGTATTGTGGGTTGATCACCACACCATTTCTATATTATTTTTCTATTGGTACAGCTCAAGATTGGATTGTGTTTTTTCTGCCGAGGAACGATCTACAGCTAAGCTGTAGAAATGAATGTGATAGTGCTATACACTACTTCCTGGGATTTTTTTTGCCTTGCTGTGCTTGTTCGCTACCACACTTTTCTCAAAATTCACATGAATATCTTTCATTTCTAGCTGTTATTCTGTACTTTCGCTTACTGAATGTCAATCCATTTTTCGTTGTTATTCATCATCTCTCAAAGTAACCAAGGACATCATGAATTATAAGTATCATTTTAAGACAATGGAAGATAGTTTTTATGTCCATTGTAAGCTTAATATATATTTTTATTCTTCTGTTTTTTGATGCCAGCCCACTCAGAATCAATTTGAGGTTGCAATAAGTATCTTTAGAGCTCAGGTCTCTGGAATAATTATCTTTCCACACACCACACATCCCTGTAGGTGTGTGGAACAACCCGACAACTCCATGGGGTGTCATTTGATGTGAATTCCATCTTCTGGAGTTGTGCAATGTGGCAAACCAGTACTCTTCTCTTCACTATGTTTCTATCTTAATGGTTCCTGTTGCATTTAGACAAGGAACAAACAAGAAACGTTCTTGAGTAAACAGTCAATTAACAAGTCTTTGAAGAGCACCTGCCATGTGCACAGCACCTTGGAGACATAAAAAAGGTATTTTCAAGGACCCTTCTCTAAAATACCTTAGAATGTGCTAGAATGGAAAGGACTTCAACACACAAAACAGTTATATATGAATACTTAATGAAAATGTAATGCAGTTAACATGCTACCGAATAATCAAGTGCTAAACGGCTAATACAGGTAAGAGGCAGGAGAAGGAAGGAATGTTTACTGAGAAGCCACTCCATGTCAGGCACTACAAATTGATTATATAATTTATCTCCACAATTATACCAACTTTACAGATGAAGAAACAGGCTTAACAAAGTTAAATATCTTGGCAAAAGATACAGAAATAATAGACAAATTTAACAATTGAGACTGCCGGCAACCTCATAAAAACGCTATTTTAGAGGTGAGGAGAAATGAGACTCAGAGAAGGTAAGTAACTAACTCCAAGACCCAAAGTTAGTGAAGAGAGCATCTAAGATTCAAACTCAGCTCTGTGTGTCTGCAAAGCTCTTAACTAATACACTCAACTATATATGGACTTGAACTCAGGTTTTCTAATTCTAAATATTATTTTTCCGTTCTACCACACTAGCTCTCTAAGACAACTAAAGAGTCTTATAAAGAGGGAGTGATAGAATTAATACAGAATATTTCATGTTATTTTTCTACTAAAGTAGAGACTATATGTGTCATAACAATTTTCTGAAGAAAATTTTTGTGAGTCAAAAGTGTGTTAGTGGAAAATACTGGGGAAGTAATTATCCATAAGTGAAGATGATCACGTTATCTCTTCGTGCACTTTGCTCTTCTTAGAAAATGGGACAAGCCTTAAAGTTAATCTTTATTTAATATACAAAATGAATTCGGTGCTACTACTGGAATAAAATTATTCTCTGAACTACAGCTTAGATGGTAATTAGATTAAATTCTTAATAATCTTGATATTTCACTGGTACTTTCAAGAGACTCAGGAGCCCAATTAAGTTCATCAAAAGGTTCAGAGAAATCTATTCTTCACTCAACTGAATCATGCAAATATAAAACAACAGTTACCTAATCTTCAGTATAAAGAAAAGTCCTGCTTAGGAAAAAAGCAGATTAAATATCAATGAGTTTAAAATATTTATGTCAGAATTAATAATGATAATTAGTATCAAATATTCATTGAGTAATTAATACCATGTGCCATTTACCATGTACTAGGCAACGTGCTCAGTGACTTACATGCATTCTCTCATGTAATTCTTACAACAGTCCAATGAGGTATGTAAAACTTTTTCCATTTACAAATGAGAAAACCAAGATTTAGAAAAGTTAAGTAACTTGTCCAAGGTCACAAAGCTAGTAACAAGCAGATCAGGGATTTAAATGAGGAAAGTTTGCTTATTGAAACTTAAAAGACAACCTGGAAGAATTTAGTAATGGCAGGAAACATACCGACACTGTAGATGCTGTAAGATTTAAGGGACTAGGATAAACATTTACAATGGACTTTTATCCCCTTCAGCAGGTACATAGATCAACCAAAAAAATAGCAGTGAGAAGATATGATGGGCACAAATGTTTATGGTTTTGTGAGGTGTAAGATTAAAATAAAAACAAATGAATAAAAACCAAAAAGATCACTCTAAATGGAAGAAATTAAAGGCTGCAGATTAAACAGAGTTCAAAATTGCGAGGAAATAATGAAACAATTAGTTTAAAGATAATTTCGTACATAGTTCTCTGGATCAGTGGTATTTCTTGGTACAAAAGTTATAATTTACAGAAATTTAAAAGGAAGACAGCAAGGGCTACAGAAAGAAGTGGCACTACACCCAAGAAAGTATGTACTTCAGCGCTGCAGCTAAAACCCCTGGCAGAAGGTCATTTTCAAATTAGTAGATGGTGTTATGTTCAAATGTGCATTTCTCAAGAGTATTATCCAAAGCACAGGTATTATCTAAAGTAGGTAGAAGTGGGAGGTTTTTTCATTCTTTTTGAAGAAAAATGTATATTTGTCCTTGCAGCTCATCTCAAAGTTAAGGATATGGTCTTGGCTGAGAAACTATTCTTCAATGTCTGTCTGTCACAAATAATTGGATTGATTTAGCTCTTGGTCCCCAGGGTTTATGATTCAATACAGAAGGGCCTAACTCTCTTTTAAGATGGACATCCACAAATGTCTTTTCCCAAGTACTCAAGCCGGGACATACCTTCGGGAATATGTTTGGCAGGTTTTCCTCTTCCTGCAATGATGGTGCCCTGTATCTCATTCTCTCATTCCCTACAAACTGCCTTTATCTGCTTTGAGCAAGGTTTGTTTTTTATCAAATACTATAATGCTGGTGCCCCAGATAAATGCTTCTGGGAATATGACGTGTTCCTTAAGAATGTGGTGGTATGTTCATAATTGACCCAGATACTCCCATAGGATAATTCAGTGGGAAAAGTCTCTTTTCCTTCTTCATCAACATCTCACCTTTCAACTATTCCCAGAATTATTTCCCTCTTCCTTTCTTTCATTTATTCCCTCTCTTACTCTCGCTTTGCCGTCGCCTATGCGTTCTCTCCAGAGAACTAGTTGTACAGATGTATATTTTTCCCCCATGCTCCCACGTTCTTAGAATTGAGCTCAGGATTCATCCAGATCTCTGGTCCATATTCTCTGCAGTCCTTCTAGTAACTTTGCTTTTGATGTTTATCATCTATTACCATGATCATTCACAAGAGAATTGATAAAATTTCTCAGAAAAAAAAAATGTTCTGAAGGAAAATGATGCAATGGAATAAAAACAAAACCCAAAGCAGTATCTCCCAGTACTAAGGTAACCTTAGCATATATCCATGTACTAGGCTAATAAAAGGGAGTAAAAATTTTCAAATGAGGGGCTGGCCCCGTGGCCGAGTGGTTAAGTTCGCGCTCTGCTGCAGGCGGCCCAGTGTTTCGTTAGTTCGAATCCTGGGCGCGGACATGGCACTGCTCATCAGACCACGCTGAGGCAGCGTCCCACATGCCACAACTAGAAGAACCCACAACGAAGAATACACAACTATGTACCGGGGGGGCTTTGGGGAGAAAAAGGAAAAAATAAAATCTTAAAAAAAAAAAAGAAAAATTTTCAAATGAGAAATTGGTATATTTTGCTCATAATGCTCGCCTTTACCCTATTTTGCCAGCTCGGAGGGATGATGTAAATGTAACGAAGGGGACATATATCCTATAAACCTGACAGAGCAAGAGAATATGAGTATGAATGATTAGAGAGCGATGATCTCTGAGTGCTATAAGGATTTATGGAAGTTTGACGAGCAATTCGCCACTATATCCATGGAAAAGGCAGAATGCAGAAAAGCAGCTAACAATGAAAGTTCTTAAGATGCTGAAGAAATATTAGAAAGCTCTAACGTGGTATGGGAAGAGACAATTAAACCAAAAGAGTTATTTAAATTGGACAATGGAATAGGGAGATAACTAAATTATGAAACAGCACAGCAAACAACAGAGAGCTCTGAAGAGCCGTGCAACACCAGAGTCCTGCCTTCCATTGCTCTGCAGTGCCACCTCACACTCTTCTAGCACGTCTGGTTTCCCAAGCTTCTGTGCCAGGCTCTGTTCTAATTCTGTTTCTTGGCAGCTCCTTTCTATGGTTTTTCACCTAACTACGTCAAATTTCACATTCACAAACTACTCTTGGGCATGATTTCCATCTCTGACTTCTTACAAGAGATTTCATCTACATTTCCAGCCCCATGGGGCCAGCTGACGGTCAGCCCACTCTTTGGTTAGCCTGGTGGGGCCTTGACAAGGGAGGGGGACTGGCTACACAGTAAGAATGTTCAACACCACATTCCTAAAGAAATAACCAAGCACGTGCTCTGGTTCAGAAATTCTTACTATGTATGTCTATCTAGGTTGAGGCCTAGGATATGTATTTTGAAAAGCATCCTGGGTGATTTATATGTCCATTCCTGGCAAGGAATGAGAGTACTGAAGAGTTATTATACTAAATGCCAACTACTCCTTGGGGAAAAAAGTACAAACTTGAAGACTCTTTGTATGATAACAAAAATAGTGCTGTCAAATGTAACGTTATTCTATAGAACTAGTAAAAACGTAATCTTTCTCTACTCTCCCTAGTCATTATATTGCTATGTCAGAGAACAGTCTAGATAGGGAGTGATATTCTGTTATGATTCGAGGCTCTGATATACAAGAAAAGCAGAATTTGCTCTTTACCTTCCCCCATTTTCTGTCAACTAAATAGAGGTTAAGAATCTTACAACCTCCCTTATTATACTTTACGTTTTATAAAAACAAAGATGTCTTCTTTGACATATTGTAAGTGCTACAGATTGAAATCAATTACTTTTTTGTTTTGGCATCCTGGATAAAAAACTTAAGAGAAAAAGAAATATACGGATTCCATTATATAACACATGCAAATCAAACTAAGACTCAAATTATACAGAATCATGATCCTCAATCCTGGGGTAGGGGAAAAAGAAAAACATAACTTCATCTTTCTTGGGTATACTTAACTTTGGATTTGATTAGTCTGATTGTTTCACATTTTCAAAACCAAAATTAGCTGGCTATCTAACATCAAGAATAAAATGAAAAAAGTGGAGACTTTACTTGCCTTTCTTATTACTCTTATTGCCCTCAGAACTAATTTTTTAAAAATTCAGTTTTTAAAAAATTCATTTACACTGCAGGCAGGATTTAAGGCAGATGATCCCACAGCTCGGATCTGTTACTCATATTTCTTCCATTCCTTTAGTATATTTATTTTTAATGGGTGTGGGAAGAAGAGAATTGCAAATGTGTCTCTGCCCACATGAGAAAACAGACAGGTGGGGCTGAAGAGTCCTATTCTTCCATTACAACCCCATAATCAGGTCTCTCTGTTATGGAATTAGCTTTGTCTCCCAGATGAAGCTATATATAGTTGCCATCATTTATGTGGAAACATTCTCTTAAAATAACTGCACCGTTCACATGTGGAAAGGATGTAAGGCATGACGAGATTTCATTTTCTATCAACATATCACTAATTCTACTATCTCAGCAGAAATAGTCTTCAAAATCTCTGAAAAAGCAAATATAGAACCTTTACTTCTTCATTAGAAGGCTAGGTCAAGCTATTAGGTTCCCTAGAGAAAGAGAAAGCAGAATATTTATTCCTTTAAGAGAAGCTGAGGGAGGAATATGCTCAAGAAGTGAACCTACGCCTAATTCATAAGCTGAACAACTGTAATCTAGCACATCTCTTGCATGGTGCTTTATTAAGAGTATAGTTTGGTTATTAGAATGAATTTTCAACGTCTTCCCACCTCCAAGTATGAAAATATGTTGGTGAAAATCTTACGAGATACTCATTATGACAACTTCTAGTGACCAGAGATTATTTTATCATTTAATTTTCCCTTTCAAATTAGCTTTTATTCGAAAAAGCTAAAACTTTGCAGAATTCAAATGATGATGCAAAGTTCATTAGAACTGAACAGTAGATTATATGAGAAAAAAGACGGCAAATGAAATAAAAATCATGATGGATAGACAAACCAAGAGAAGAAGAAATTTTGAAGAATTCCACAAAACGTAACCCCCATTTTGTTATATGTATGTATATAATATACATACAATATGATTTTCTAAAATGCAACTGCACTCTGCTGGCGAACAGGGATCACGCTTTATATCTCCTTTGCATAGTCTGTGCTGAACACATGGCAGGTGCTCAGAAACTTGCTTAGCCAAGTTTAAAATCACTCGGTAAATGAGTTAGCTACTTTATATTCATCCTTAAGTATACATTAACCATTGAAATTCCGTTTTTTCTATTAGTTAAAAACGAAAACATTCACATTAGTAAAATGATATTACCTATAAGGATAGCCGTGGTACTTGGAACGAAATATTGAAAGTAGAAAACTGAAGAAGAAGACCACCAGGCCTAAGCCCACTAGGCAAATTACTAGAAAGAAACAGAAAATACCATTAGTGTCTAGACACATGCAATCCAAATGTTTATATTTTTTAAATGCACTCAATTAATTACAGTATACTTACATTTAACAGTTCATGGCACATAGAGGTACAACAAACCAGATAATCCAAAATACAATGTATTCATTATTTTCCACATTCTTCTCAATGCAAATGTACTATTTGGGGTGTGAAAACAAAACAAGTGACTGCTCTAAGTCTTGCGGTGGTTTTCTTCTCTTACAGAGTTCCTACAATTACTAAAATGCCCCAGAGGGATTGAAACAAAACAAAATACGTGATAAACCACAGAAAAGATCATCAGCCCTTGCATTATGAAGCACTGACTAAATTAGCAGAGACATTTGCATTATTAGAATGCTAAATATAATTTTATTCTTTTCAGATGCTATGCAACATCTACCAAGAAATCTCATTTTAGATTATGGGCTGGATTATTGCTCCAGTAAAAGCCTGTAACTTAGAAACAGTTCATCCCCGCGTACCGGAGGCTAGGAATAAAAGCGTGGAGAGTGAGAGAACATGGGCTCTGTGGGAGTCAAACGGGGAGAAAAATCCCCCTAAATAACAGGCAACAGTGTCAAAGTATTATCGCTGTTTGTTTTACAAAGGAACAGGGGCACACGTTACAGTAGAATGTGCTACGCTGTGGTCCAGGTTTTCAGTACTACTTTGTCCCAGTCAAGCTGACAATAGGTCAATTATGTTTTTTGTTTTCATAAAAATAAAATATATATACAAGTATATATTTTCATAATATAGAATATATTTATAGTAATATAAATATATTTATAATAATACAAATACCTTTATATACATATAACATATAAAACGTATATTTGCATATATATTTTAGATATTTAATTAAACAAGATCCATTGCTATTATTAGTAAAATAAATTTAAACATATTTATAAACTTTAATAGCTTAAAAACCTGAGCCAATTAAATGCAGCTATGTTTAGAACAAAAGATATTCAAAGAAACTGAAATTTATTTAGATCTGTTCTGTAAGTAAGTAAAATTAGAGTTATCACTTAATAAGGAATATCTAAACATTTCTTAAGAATTAAATATTTGCATAATACTTGTATCCTTTCATTAGTTTCAGGGAGTTCTTTAAAAACACTGAAAAATATCTAAAATAAGTAATTATAAAAGAAAGGGGAAGACAAAAGACAAGAGATTAAATGCACTAACAGAAGAAAACCAGGAAAATTAAACAGTTCTACATGTTTTTATAATGAAATATGATTTAAAAAATCTTCCAGCATATAAATGAGACCAAGTTTAATTAAATCCTTGAAATTAGGGAGTAGATTAGACATGGTATTGTCAAAATATGGTCTAGAAATGTGTCAGTCAGTTTCATTCATCTCTGAGGGAGTGTCATTCTCAGTTTTGAGTACAAATTGTGCAAAGTCATAAGTGCTTAATAGCATTCAATTGCAGCCTCTGTGACATTTCATCTCAGACACACTCATGCAGTTGAACTTCAAATGAATATTGGTAGAAAATAAAGCAAAAAACACGTTGCCGAATATCACAAAATGAAAAACAGCTTTTTTTTTTAATTGCAGAATATCCAAGTATGACAGACACCAGGCACTAGAAACAGCATATTAACAACTCTGCTTACAACAATCTGACTAAACCTAGAATTAATTACATGATGCTTTACTTTACACCTTCCCACATTTGGTATTTTTACCCAACACTTCATTCTTTCCTCTATATCCCCTTTTTAAAAAAAAATTTTCAGAAGCTGAATAAAAACACTCTATGCATTCCCTTTGCTGCTTTTAGTAGCTCATTTGGTTGTGCTTAATGGGAAACGAGGCTCATGATATGTGATCTAGTAAAACAGAATATATTTACTTGATTCTATGCAGCGGCACTAAATAATGCTACTTAAGTACTTGTATATGGGGAAGGGAGAGGAATCAGTGAAGAGCAGGGAGTCAGCAATCACGAAATGAACCACTGCAGCCCACACAAGAGAACACACTTGCAAGAAAAAAACACTCTGACAACACAGAAGCATTCTGACCTGGGCAATAATCATCACAGTAGTTGTACTATATCAAAAATAAAAGTCACACTAGAAGCAAAAAGGAATAATTAAAAAATATATATTTGCTCTCTCTTTCTCTCACACCCATGAATAACTAATTTGGCAGTGGGTAGTGATATAGAAATACCTACCAAGAAGAAAGTTGGAAGGAGTGATTTTACAAACTCAATATCATAGACATTGAGAGCTTAAAAAATTACTACATATTTCTTACTATTACTTACCTTAATATGACAGGATATACGGTAAATATGTAATCACATAAGAATTTGTCCTTATAAACATTATTTGTCAATCCCAAGAACATCAAATGTTTATTTCAAAAAACAGCATAAAATGGTATTCTGAACAATGCCTAACTAAACAAACCAATGTGTTCGTTTCTTCTGTAGTTTCTTTACAACAGCATACAGACAACATCATGGGAAAACAGGGCAGACTATACCGAATATGACACCCAAAACATTTCAACACTTAAGACACCTAAGTATTTGGAAGTCACTATGATTTACTTACATACATGACCCTCTAGCTAAAATTCCATAAAGAAAATAAGTCTATTTTTATTTTAAACTTCTGAATAAATTATTAGTTTTTTTCAGACACTTATGTTCCTCATACATAAATTCTTGGCTTTAAAAAGGGTTCAGAAATGCAAAACATATTGAGAAAAAAGTTAATTATAGGTTTGTGGAGGTATAATAATAAAATCACATGGGGACAATGTTAGTCATAAAAAGGTCTGAGGCAGGAAATACTGAATTTAAGGCCCTCCATTCTTTTCCAACCTACATTCTTCAGAGCAGAAGATTTTTCCATGTGCTCTGTTTTCCTACCAAAATTTGTTACTTTAAAAAAAATGTATTTTTTTCCACAACCCTGAGAGAAATAGTTCCATCAAAGGATAAGACATAGTTAACTTGCTTAAAAACACAAGGCTGGAACTTGGTGGGGTTGTAAATCTTGGAATAACATTGAAGAAGGCAAAGACCCTGGAAAAGATAGTATCAAGAGATGCCCTCTTTTTAAATGTTGGTAAAAGGAAGTTTGGAGGTAATTGCAGGGTACTATAACATTTCAGTGTACAAAACCTTAGTGAAAACTTCGCCAGTCAGTCCTTGAATGCACTTCTGATTCTTGTGGCATAGGGAACACATCATTTGCCAACATAATCTCTAAGACTCTGCCCACAGAATTTCCATCTCTCCCTGTAGGGTGGACGTTACTACAGAGAGCACAGCTTTAGTAGCAATGTGTCAAAGCACACCTGACAAAGGTGAATGACAGCTCTCCTTTATATGCAATTCCAGAGAAAATCACCTAATACCGTTTTGGAAGAAATATACTTTAAGTACTTGCACACACATCCAAGAAGCAGAAGAAAGTAAACCGCAATCTTCCTCAAACCAGAACATTTCTTTCGAAGTTTGTTTACAGAGGACTTTTACATATTTTTCATTTGATTTAAATGGATGTTAAGACTAAAACAAAATTACAAAAATAGCAGCACAGACACTTACTCCGTCTTTTTCCAACATCTCCTTTGGATGTTGCCGCTTCATTTAGAAGAACCATCCCCATGGTGATAGCAGCATCTACAGTAGTTGTCAAGGAAACAGTACATGATGCAAATAAAATCTATTAATTTTTCTGGATCAGAACACTATGTGTAATTTAACCAGAATGGTTAAATTACAAGTGCACACAGAGGGAAATACAATTTATTCTCTTTATAGTACATAAAATTTCAGTTCTTTGTGTATTTAAATATGCCTTAATTTTTAAAATATATAACCTGAAACTTCGGTCTGAGACTTGGAAGGTCTAATTCTGAACGCTCTTCAGTTTCAGGACTTTCATAGCACATATGAATTACACGGACTCCCAAAACCAGTTATGACATTTCACATTATACATAAACATATGCACTAGTTATAGCCACAGTGACACATTTCATTGGCAATTATGGAAAATTAGAATATATTCAGCATGATTTTTTCCCCCATTTTCACAGTGAGTGTGTGTGTAGCTTTCTCTTTCTTGATGTCTAAGGGGTTTCATAGATTTTTTTTTTTAAGAAATCTTTATTAAGGTTAGGCATTGTCCTTGGAAATCTTTTGTATCCAATTACAAACCTTACAAAAGCAAACAAGCACATTATAACAAAGCAGTCTAACAAACTTAGCAGGAGCTTGATCTAGTCAAGTAACTGACATTTTAAGAATGAGAATACAAAATTACTTGTCTACTTAACGTCTGCTTGGATATATTCATGCCACGCTGAAAGATGCCAAGGATTAAGAAAATAATGGGACTTTTCACCTTTAATAATAACATTCTTTGCCATGTTATTAAAACATTTTTGATATGGACTAATGTTAAAATTTAAGAACTCATCAATTCTGGAAATATATTTACTAAGTGTTCTGCCCAAATGACTAATGGATTAAAAAATGAGAAAAATAAGCTTAGCCCAGAAATTCCTCAATTTGCTTAGGTAACTTTATTATGATTTCCTTTTATTCCTTTCTACTGCTCTATGCATACGCCCAGCATCCATAAGTCTCCCGTACAGGGTGTCTGTAAGTGCCTTCTACTGCAGATAGTCAAAGCTCAAAGAATACTGTCTAGCTATATTTATATACAATTAAGTGGAGGAGGTCACAGGAAATTCTGCAGAGTAAATATTTCTATTCTATTTTCTGGTTATTAATAAGTAAGTATAGTACTTATATTTGAGTCTGTTTTCATGACCATATTATCCAACTTCTGGATAATAAATGTCTGACTTATCCAGTTAGGCATTTATGTTTACACTCACCTCTCTATACAAATGATTTTCAACCTATTCTATTTATTTATAGCAACCTTTAATGGAACCCTTTCTGGAGCAAAAATACCAAGCAACCAACGAACCTTGGTTGGAAGCCTAATGTATATAAGAGAAAAAGCCATTACCAGCCCTATGCAACACCAACTCTCACCCACCTTGCCCAACACACAAATACAGTATAGACTATCACCAAACTTTTAGGGATCCATGATACACAGTTTGAAAACCACTCAAATTTAGATAATTCCTGAATTCCTTGAGTTTTGCTTATGTAGTGATGGCCTGAAAAGGATAATGTAAGAAAATGAATCTTTCGTACTACCACTATGATAGACTGTGGACTTGATGGATTCCTGTTCTCAAGGTGTTTTGGACAACCTACTGACACAAATACTCATGAGTCCATGGTCATAGAGCATTGCTAATAATAAAATGATGGAAAAAATTAAAAGCTTGTATCACTCAAACCGTTCATATGTAGAAATTTCTACTGCTTTACTCAGTTCTCTGGAGCAGACTGCTGTGAATGATATAGATCCTTAATAAGGAGTTAAATTAGGTTTCTCCTTTCACCATTCTCTGGTAACAGCCTTTTATGTTCATGTATAAATTTTAATGTATACATTTAAATATACATATTATATCTATTGAAAATTCATACAGAATTAGATTTTAACTATGACAATATTTTTTGCAAATATTCAAAATAAATGACATTTAAAATGATTTTTATGTACATATTATATACCTAACAAATACTCATTTTAATGACTCCATCTGCTAAGCAGCTTCCAAAATTCCATTAATAAAATCACGGAGAAAATGGCACTATTTCTATTTCTGGAGAAAATAAGGTTTACAAAATTAAATGCTTTAAAATTTTAATCAGTGTGAACCATATATGAAAATACTCTCAGGGTAAAATTTTATACACAAACACTCATGTGCACTAATGTATATGTTATAAACACACATAGACATGATCTCAGGGAAAAGTATATTTCATTGGATATTAACTATGGTCACCCAAGTATAACACATCTCTATTAATATATCTTCATACCATTTTTACTACTCTCCCTTTGTAAATTGTTATAATGTGAAAACTACATGAGCAACAATTCTCATTGGATACACTTTTAAATTTCACACAAATTCAGGCAATGCTGGGACAAAAAATTATGTATAGGATTTTCTTAAGAGTATACCACATTTTATTGCTAACATTTTGTTGAGAATTTTTGCATCTAATTTCATTAGGGATATCGGTCTATAGTTTTCCTGTGGTGTCCTTATCTGGTCTTGGTATCAGGGTAATGCTGGCCTCATAGAATGAGTTTGGAAGTGTTCTCTGCTCCTCAATGTTTTGAAAGGGTTTGGAAAGGGTTGGTGTTAATTCTTTAAATGTTTGGTAGAATTCTCCAGTGAAGCCATCTAGTCCTGGGGTTTTCTGTTTTGGGAAGTTTTTGACTACTGATTTGATCTCTTTACTTGTTTTTGGCCTGTTCAGATTTTCTATTTCTTCCCAATTCAGTCTTGGTAGGTTGTGCATTTCTAGAAATGTATCCACTTCTTCTGGGTTATGTAATTTCTTGGCATTTAATTGTTCATAGTAGTCTCCTTAGATCCTATGTATTTCGGTAGCATCAGTTGTAATGTCTCTTTCATTTTTCATTTTGAGTCATCTCTCTTTTTCTTTGCGGTCTATTTAAAGGTTTCTCAATTTTGTTTATCTTTTCAAAGAACTAGCTCTTAGTTTTGTTGTTGATCCTTTCTATTGTTTTTCTGGTCTCTATTTCATTCAGTGCCACTCTGATATTTATTATTTCCTTCCTTCTGCTAACTTTGGGCTTAATTTGTTCTTTTTCTAGTTTCTTGAAGTGTAGTTAGGTTGTTTATTTGAGATCTAATTTCTTAATATGTTCATTTATCACCATAAACTTTCCTCTCAGAACTGCTTTTGCAGCATCCCATATAATTTGGTATGTGTATTTCCATTTTAATTTATTTCAGATGTATTTTTATTTCTCTTTTGATTTCTTCTTTGATCCATTGGTTGTTCAGAAATGTGTTGTTCTGTCTCTGCATATTTGCAGTCTTTCTAGCTTTCCTCTAGCTGTGGAGTTCTAGTTTCTTCCACTGCAGTTAGAAAAGATAGTTGGTATTATTAAAATCTTATGAAATTTGCTGAGACTTGTTTTGTGTCCTATCATATGATCTGCCCTGGAGAATGTTCCATGCACAATTGAGAAGAATGTGTATTCTTCTGCTGTCAGATGAAATGTTCTATGTCTGTTAAGTCCACTTGGTCCAAGGTATGATTCAATTCCAATGTTTCCTTGTTTTTCTGTCTGGATGACCTATCCATTGCTGATAGTGGAGTACTGAAGTCCCCTACTATTATTGTATTATTGTCTATTTCTCCCTTTACATCAGTTAGTATTTGCTTAATATATTTTGGTGCTCCTTTGTTGGCTACATATATGTCTAGGATTGTTCTATGTCCTTGAGGTGCTGACCTTTTTATCATTATATAATGACTTTGTCTCTTGTTACTGTTTTTGGCCTTGAGTCTAGTTTGTCTGATATAAGTCTGGCTACTTCCATTTTCTTTTAGTTTCTACTCGCCTGGAATATCTTCTTCCTTCTCTTTATTTTGAGCCTATCTGTGTCTTTACAGCTGAAATGAGCCTCCTGTAGGCAGTATCTAAGTTGGGTCTGTTTTTTTTTTCTATCCAGTCACTGTGTGCCTTTTGGTTGTTGGGGTCAATCTACCTACATTTAGAGTGGTTACTGACATGCGAAGACTTAATACTGCCATCTTATATTTGCCTTCTGGTTGTTTCTGTATCTCCCTTATTTCTTTCCCCTCTGTTTCTGTCTGCCTTTGTAAGTCGGTGGTTTCCCAGGGTATTTGCTCAGGCTCCCTTTTGTCGTTAAGTTTCCTGTCTCTTATTCTGGATTTGTGCTTGTGGTTACCATGAGGCTTACATAAAACATATAAATTGCCGTCAGCAGAAAACAGACTATCTTAACGTCACTCACCTATAAAGGTTCTACCCTTTTATTCCTCTTCTTTTATATTTGTGATGTCATCTGTTACCTCTTTCTATACTGTGAATTCATTAACAAATTGTAGTAGCTATAATTATTTTTAACGCTCTTTTCCTTTAACCTCTACACTGTAATTAAGTGGTAAAGACACTATTCTAATATAGACTTACAGTTTTCTAATTCTATTTATCAACTTTATCACAGTTTTGTGTGTACTTTCATTTTTTGTGTGTCATTAATGAGTATCTTTTCATCTCAGCCTGAAGAACTCTTTTCCTCATTTCTTGCAAGGCAGATGGTTGACTCCTTTTGCTTTTGTTTTGGAAGGTCTTTATTTCTCCTTCATATCCGAAGGACAACTTTGCTGGATAAAATATTCTTGGCTGGCAATTTTTTCTTTCAATACTTTGAATATGTCATTCTATTCTCTTCTAGCCTGAAGAATTTCTGCTGAAAACTCTGCTGATAGCCTAATGGGGGTTACTTGGTAGGTTACTTTCTTTTTTTTTCTGGCTGCCTTTAAAGTTCTTTCTTTATTGTTGGTTTTTGATAGTTTCATTATAATGTGTCTTGGAGAAGGTCCTTTTACATTGAGATAATAAGGCGTTCTCTTAGCTTCATGGACTTGTATGTCCAGTTCCTTCCCCAGGTTTGGGAAGTTCTCAGTCATTTCTCTAAATAAACTCTGCCCACTTCTCTCCCTCTTCT